GGGGGTTGCCGAGTTTTTCTGCAGCTGGACGTCTTTATACTCAGCTAATTAATTGGCAATTGTTGAGAGCTGGCCTGAACCGAGCCAATTCTTGGCGTGCATATTCTCTTCGCCATGGAAAGGGGAATGTACAAAACTAATTGAGTACCCGGCTTTGCTCGGGGTCGACGCCTTGGCGTCACTGCTCCTACTGGTCTACGCCGCGGAGGCTTTTACAAGTACATTGATCATTGCTGTCTAGCCTTTCACAGTCACACATGGCTTCTAGATCTATATTGCTTTAGATTAGGTCTACCTTGATTAACTCCTCTCTTGATCTACATTGCTTTAGTATATTGTTGTCTAGCCCTTCACAATCACAAAATACGGGTTTCGCCTTACACCATCACAAAAAGCACTAAGGAAAATAATAATCGCCGAAAGGGCTGCTACTCTGTAAAAGGAACACACCGACGTCTTCAAAGTCACAGAGGCAGTGTCCATATCTTGTTCACTTTCCTCTGACAGCGTTAAAAAAATTCTAGCTCATTGACAAATTTATCTTTGCCCACGAAACTTTGCGTGGCGCTTCTACAGGCTAGCGACCAAACAAAAATATTTTTTCAAAAAATCTTGACCCAGTAATGAAAAAGTTTTTTTCTCTTTGGGCCCTATATTAAAAACAACTCTTTGGATGCATACACAGAATCCTGTCTTCACGTAGGTGAGTCTCGAAAATTACTCATCCCGCCTCTTGAATCGTGTTTCTTATACGGGGTGCCCACTACGGATGGGATCGGCCGATCAGGCCGATCGCCCGACTCGATCGCCCAGGCTAACGTCAAAGAGCGATAATGAACCTACACAGATTTGTTTTGTTTCTCAGTGGAATAATCACAAAGGTCAAAGAAAGACGGGAACCTTTCGTCAAATATATTTTTCTAAATTCAGGAAATGAATAAATCAAAAATCGGGCTCCGTCATGGGGACCTATATATATACTTGCAGGTACTTGCCAACTTTCAAGTCTGTAGCTGTCGTAGTTCATGGGGAAAGTGACACATGTGTTTCCAAGTTGCCAAATATATAATAGATATAAGTGAGCGGTTTACACAGCGGTGTTTGTGATTAAATGCCACGCGGCATGCGGCATAAAACAGTCACATGGAAAGCGGCCTTTATAGTGGTCAGTCGCTTTGCTGTCGGATGCAGGAGGAGACCCGGGTTCAATTCCTGTATGAAAATAAAAGTATAAATATTTATCGAGTGTCTCGGGTCTTTCTTCAGGGATGTTGTGTCGCTCTTAGACCGGGTTGCCCCCTGTAAGGGGAGATAACTCAATGTAGTCTGGATATCAACTAGCTTTATTGTGTTTTAGGAGATATCTCCCCTACATCGTGTGACTTTTTTTCGTTGAATATATATATGTAACGTGGTAATCTCTCTCTCTCTCTCTCTCTCTCTCCCTCTCTCTACCTATCTCTCTCTTTCTCCCACACCCAGCAGACTGAAATAAACACACATAAACACACACACACACACACACACACACACACACACACACACATACACACACACACACACGTATACAAAAAAACACACACACACACACACACACACACACACACAACCTCTCCCCCTTCCACACACACACTCAAACATACACCTGCAAATCTCCACACACAACAACACATACCCATTCCTACAAAGAAGCCGTCTTTGCCTTCGATCACTCCCAATAGTCATCCACCCCCTGGGCGGTGCTGTGTTACTGACTGAAGTGTCTTCAGGCCATTCTCAAAGGGGGTGGGGGGTGGGGGTGGGGGGGGTGCATTAGCATGACTGTTCTCATGCACAGTAGAATTGTAAATGGGCTGATTCATCAATGTCATGCTCATAACTGGGCCAGCTTTCTTTCTTAATCCTTACTATCGTCATTTTTCCTCTACTTCTTTTGTATGTTTGTCACACTCTTGTCAAACGCTATTCCCGGGGTGCCTTGATAGTCGAAGCAGACTTTGGGCTGTTGAAGCTAGAGAGGTAAGCAGAGTAAGCCTGATTCCTTGTAAGGACTTCTCTATTGACATCCACCGCTCATATGACCTTATTCAATATTGTGCTGTTGTGAGCACTGTAAAACCTTACTAAAACAAAACAACCAGTCATCCATTTACGACAATTTGACGCTTCAGGTCTCCACGGGAAGACGAACTTGGAGTCGCTGGAGATAGACCAGTGGGTGAATCTGCAGCAAGACATAATTGACGAGGTTCGCAGAGCCAAGCTGGAAAAGGATCCAGAGAGAGTGGTTAGTTGTTGGGTTTTTTTAGTTGTTTTTTGGGGGGAGGGGAGGGGGGTGTTTTGTTTCTGTTTTTGTTATTTTATTATATTCTATTTAATTAAATTTAATTTTATTTTATGTTATGTTATTTTATTTTATTATATTATTATTATTATTATTATTATTATTATTATTATTATTATTATTATTATTATTATTACTATTGTTATTATTATTATTATCATTATCATTGTTAGTCTATAATAATAGTAATAATAATAATAATAATAATAATAATAATAATAATAATAATAATAATAATAATAATAACAATAATAATAATAGTAATAATAATACAATAGTTATCGTTATTATTATTATCATTATTTTATTTATTTACTTTAGGGTCGGATGGGGGTGGTAAGTAGTGTTTTGCGGTCCCCACAACTGCATGAGGTCATATTATAGGTGCGCAGGACACATTCAGCAGTAGAGGTGGGCAAAATCCGGATAAACTTTCCGTTAATCGGATAATTCTCAATGAAACATTAACCGAATTCAGACTCTTAACTCTCTTTCCTGACCCGTTTGCCGAAGTGGGAGCACCCAATTGTTGAAGTGATACCAATACCCGTTTGTCGAAGTGGTTCTAAGTTTCTAACCCATTTGCCGAAGCGGTTCAAAACATATTATTTTCTGAAGAGGTGAACATTATAATCCGGATTTTGCTAAAGCGACTCATTACCCAGCCCTATTAATCAGTTTTGTAGGAATTAATTTTGAATTTTTCCCTGGTGGCAGTCGCAGCCGACTCTGATCGATTCTATGACCACCAATGGATCTTTAACTTTAACGTGCACAATTTGCGCAAGGGAACCTCCGGAATTTTTTGGGCCCAGATACGAGAGGGCTAACTGTTAGATTTTAACGACCCCAAGATCAGGGGTGCGGAAAGGAACTTGAAGGCACACATGATATTCTAAACAAGGGTCTTGGCATCATCTCATACCTTTTGTCTGTCTCGCAGGAAGAGATCTGGAAAAACTTCAAGGAAACATTCAGCCCGAGATTTCTGCAGTTCTTTGAGGATGGGCTGAAACAAAATGGCACAGGATTCCTGGTTGGAGATCGGGTTCGTATTTGTGTCTCCCCCTTTCTTCCTCCCTTTCTCTTCTCTCTCTCTCTCTCTCTCTCTCTCTCTCTCTCTCTCTCTCTCTCTCTCTCTCTCTCTCTCTCTCTCTCTCTCTCTCTCACACACACACACACACACACACACACACACACACACACACACACACACCAACACACCAACACACACACACACACACCCCGACACACACACACACCGACACACATACACACACCGACACACACACACACACACACACACACACACACACACACACACACACATACACACACACACACACACACACACAATAAGCACACGTGAACTTAACATTCCCAACAACAAAAGCATTTATTTCAACATAATTACGAACATCTTCCATGACCTCTTCCGTAGCATTTTATTCACACATAATTACGAACATCTTCCATGACCTCTTCCGTAGCATTTTATTCACACATAATTACGAACATCTTCCATAGCATTTAGAGCCAAGGTCCACATACTCCGCTTTCGTACGCTTACGTACTCACAAAGTGCGTATGGAAGCGTTCAACCGTTTATTTCTATATTACCTGGGCCGACTGTGGACGACACGCTTCCTCACGCTTACGTGAAAAACGTATGATGTCTAGCACGTCAAACATTTTCCGTACGTGCTGTGGCTTCATCGACACTGATTTGGTTGAAAAATAAATTAATGCCACTTAATGATAATAATAATAATAATAGATAGATAGCATTTGTATAGCACATATCCCCGCTCAACAGCAGGCTCTATGCGCTTTACACTATATTATTACCCCAGCAGACCATAGAACACCTCGAAACATTCTCAGCTTCCCGGGAAGCATACAGTGCAAGCAGCCGATTAAGCGCTCAAACACTAACAAACTGACAAGATCTTTCGCTGTCTATAGCCGGGTACCCGTTCCCACCCGGGTGAAGTGAGGAAAATTCGTGTAAAGTGCCTTTCCCAAGGACCCAACGTCGGGCCCCTGACGGGATTCGAACCCACGACCTTACGGTTGCGAGTCCGAGAGCCTAACCACTAGGCCACCGACGCCACTTTACTTTGATCTCAGTATTCTCAGTCTCCAAAATGTGATTTTTTAATTACAAAATTTTTTTAATATTTTTTTTTTTTTGGGGG